TTATGTATCTAAGTGGAGTCCTAGGTATTTGACTTACCTTGTTTGTATTATATGCGTGCCGTTCAGTAAGATGTTTGGTGGTATCTGTTTTCGCAGTGTGAATGTAACATGGTTGCATTTATTAGGGCTTGCTTTAATTTGTTTAACTTGTAGCCACTTTTCTATTTTTGTGATAGAAAATAAAATTGTTGAGAATTTTGGATCTGAATAGTCGAAATAATGGTATAGGAACACTAAATTTACACTTGAAATTAATATTAGAATAATTATATGTTTATTTGATAAGCGATTTCAAAGATATTCATCGATACACACTTGCACGCGTCTCACCACTTTCTTCCATATCCGACTGTTAACCGACTGAACCGAGTTTACATTCATTTGTTTTCGAGACGCCGCGCATACACATACCTCCACGCACTGATATTCACGTACAAGTATTACTACTACGCATCTAACCTATAAAATTATACATATCTCAATAAAAATTACAACTTGATCCACTGCCAAATTGACTGACAAATTGGAAGAATAATTCTTGCGACGATATTTACAATTTTCTCTTACATCGCTCGGATTGTCATGCTTCCATAACATCAGCTAACGTTTGAATTTCACACACGATCGCATCGATATATATTATACGTTTAATATCAATCACGATTCACGGTATCAATTGCGCGGATAAATAGGCGACTCGTTAGGTCCGTGTAAACTGTCAGATTTATTGCGTCCTCCGGGAGTAATTCCCGTGAAACGATGATTCATATTCGGAAAAATACGCAGCGGGCTAGCTGCAGCTGCAACATGGCTTCAACGAAATTTTTTAATAAAACGCCCACCCGCATGAATTATGGTGAATTTTTAGAGCGAATGTATTAATGATGTCGCGTCGATACAACAAAGCCATCCTCCCACTCTGTCCTCAGGGGTATATAGATTTTTTGTTTTTTATTTTCCCCGCCTCTTGAATGTTAATACGCCAACGCGGATGCAATTATTCCGAAATTATCCTTTTATCCTTTTATCCTGTTACGGTTAAGTGGAAGCCAGAAATATGATCATTAAGCTACATTTTAATATTCTCAATATTTCCATATAATGACGAATAACTATTTGAAACATTTGAGGAGTATACAAAAGTACACCTGTTTGATTCCAAAGTTAATAAAAATAAAATGTTGGCCCGTTCGGTAAAATATTTGCTGGAAAAATATTTGTCGAAATTAATAAAATAAAATGACAATTCGATTGGCTATTAAATTAAAAGTGCGCTACTTTCAAGATTTGTAAACCGCGAATGATTTTGATCGATATCGCTCTATTTCTACCTGCTTCCGTAACATCAGCAAACATTTGAATCGCATTGCTTATGGATATATTTGCTCGTCGAGTTATCATTCTGCCCAAAAGGATATTTTTTCTTTCATTCCATCCACCAAAACACGAACGTACCGACATGAATCAGAATAATTCCCTGATTTTTAAATTTCTATTTGAATTGCTCTTTTTTTCAGGTACACAGTTTCTCTGGAATGGAAATTCCAACGGGAATTTTCGAAAATATATAGACTCTGTCGATTTTATCACAAAGGGCTTCAAAGCTACCCCTTTTATCTGCCGTATGGATAGATTAAAAAGACACACCGAGGCTATTGATCAAGAATTTATTGCAAGGATATTGAAAAACCTGGCTTGCGTAATAGGGCGAATGGCCGCGGGGTTTACGGAGTGAAATTGCGGGGGTAAAAGTTATACAAAAGCCCTTCAGAAAGGTGGTGCATAAATGGCATTGCATTTATATCGCGGGAATCGAAATTACAAAGTACCGGCCAGTGTAATCACGGCCAGAGTCACGAAACGTGTCCCGTGGCTTACGTTTTACCAAAGGCGCGTCGCCTGCGATGAGGTCTCCAGAATTTTTAGCTGGGAATCGTTCAAAGAAACCTGCGGAAAAGGCAAGCCAGAGAGAAAGAGAAAAAAAAGAGAAATTAGTTATCAGAAAGATAATTACGCGTCATAATTGAAGTCGAATAATTTTTCTACCAGCCTTTCTTCTGGCATTTATGAGTTTTTCGGTGATTTAAAACCAACTGTTGATTAGGGGATTTAACTAAACCATGAATTAAGCTGTCAGTGTTTTAATAGCTTATATCATATAGAGTATATGCTTTCTCGTTCAAATACCTATTTTTTCTAAATATAAATGTGTTAATTTTCATACTGTTATTTGATTATGTCAATGATCGTACGGAACAGACAGAGGTGTTTCGCTTTTATAAATGAATATAAAAATACTTTATGTTGTTTGATACTTCTAAAAAAATGCGTTTAATTAAAGGATTATTAGTAATTCGTTAAAAAATTCTGCACTTATTTGGAATCAATATTTTATGTGCTATATTTCTATGCTCTCTTGATAGTAAGCTTTTTCAAAGATCTATTTGCCATTTTGTTTCTAGCGTTTCGAAATATTTGCAGCTTTTTAGACACTTAATTTAGGATTTTGTTTCTTGAAATTATGTTTGCGAAAAAATTCGCGATAACCAAACCGAAGCCAAGAAAAGTCAGGAATTTTTATCACTACGAAGAGAATATTTAAAGATACGTTTCTTCGTAGCAATATGTAGAAACGTTTGCTTGATCGTCATTAGTTTGCCACCTTTTCCTCTAAATATTTTCCAAATTTCCAACTTTAAACTAAAGCCGTGACTCTTTTTTTTCAACACTCTGCCGCTTCTGTCTTACGAAATACTGTCGCGGTATTTCCAGAAAAATTCACCGCATTCTACCAAATTCCTGTCACACCGAAACGAACCGCATTCAAAATTCACAAATTCGGCCAATTCACCCGATCTTCTTTGACAGGACCTTTCCACCCGTTTTTTACGCTTTCATCTTTCGGTACGTGTACGAGCGTTGACGAGATCGTGCGAGGAAAAGAGCAGAACGTTAACGACGCCGCGTGCGAAAGCCGAAATCGCAAGCTGCGGCGAATTCTCGCTGGGTTTCGTTCGATAAACGCTGTTTGAGCGGTGAACTCCTTTCTGGCTTAAGCCAGCGTGCACTGTAAAATATAAAAAGAAAATATATATATATATATATTTATAAAGGACGAAAGGTAGAAAAGGTGAAGTGCTTTCGAGCTCAGCGGTGGAATTATTTCGAAGAAATTACTTAGACGTGTTTTAAAACGGACGTTTGAGCGGTCACGCTTCTGCAAGAAAATGCGTTTCTCTGTGAGCCGCATCTTTATACAGACAGGGTGTTTCAAAAAGAATCATATTTGGAGAATTTCCATTTAATAGAAATATGTAGGAAAGCTTAGTAAACGCTAATCGTGATATTAAATCGATATTACTTAATATCACACGCAGTGAGAGAAAAAGATATTTGTATACTTAAATCATAGAATATTTTCCATATTAGTATGTTTCAGGTCATTTTATAACTAATACAATCGTTCTCATATATCAGATCTAATGAAGAATTACCTGTCGACAATCGATCAGTGATGAATCTTTCCGTATATTTCATAATTCATTGCCTGCTTCTATTAAGCTTTCGATTCCAATCTTTTAAAATTCAGGTTACCAGACGAAAATTGTCAGTGTTTGAAACCGAACACTTTCGAAAAATCGCATTACTTACGGGATAACCGAATATAATAAATATGCAGATGAAAAGTTATGTAAATTAATATTTATATTAAAATTAATAGCGAAATTAATCAGCCACTTTGATTCATGTTCATTAAGGTCTTTGTACGTATTTTAACGAGTATTACGCGTTGCTAAAATTTGACCCGAATTTTATCCACCAGAGCGAAAGGCATGAAACGCGAGTAATGAAATAGAGACGAAGCCTCGCCGGCTGATTCATTGACTCGCACTACTAGCAAGATTAAATTCTCTATGTCTTGAAAAATAAGCCTCAAACGACATTTTTATATACGAACTTTTCTCATTATCTTGATTTCTAGCGTCATGCCTTTTAAATATCTCACACATTTTCTTTAACACACATTGTACAATATAAACTTTTCCTCTCGTGTTTCATCCCCGGTTTTATTTTCATCTCTTCTCTTTACTTTCGTGCGTCATCTAGTTGTTTATTTAACGAGAATAATTACACGAAAAGGCGAAGTGTACCGTGAATATGGCATTTCCTTGTTGCAAGAGAGAGAGATATTTTTCTGAGCAAACTTCTTTCGTGGACAGTTGAAACGCTCTCCAGAGAAACGTATTTTTCGAACGATGTCTCGCGTCGAATATAATTCCTCGTCTTCGTGTGTTCTCCTTTCTGTTTGTCCGTTAAAGGAGCACGATTTAAGAGAATAATTTCCGGGAGTGAACAGCGAATTCGTTTATACGAATTCGGTTTTCTCGTAGAAACGGCCGTATTACGAGAAGAATATTTTCTTGAATAAACGATATGGCTGCGATATGGTAGATTGTCTTCACCAAATATGCTTGTTCCAATTTCATACATATGTATCGTATCAAATAAACGATAATTTTTTAATAAAAACACCGCGACCGTAAGCTACTCCAATAACGAAATACGTATCGGGAATTTTAGCCTGAAACAGAGGAAAATTTACATTAATGAGGCGATCGACTGCAATCACTGCGAAACTTGATATTCAAATTCTCGCAAAAATATATAATTTCTAAATATTGTGAGTCATAGATTAAATCAAGTACATCGTCATTTTACAATATCGGTCAAAGGGAAAGAAGAAAAATAGTAAAAAGATCAGGAATGTTCGTCATAAGCGTAGATTTAAAATTCCGAAATTTCCGCTTTGCTAGTTTAATTCGCTAGATGGATAAATTCGTTGCAACAAATGCACCATATAAATCACACTTACACCCACTGCGTTTGAATCAAAGAATTCCAAGCTTGTACACTGTATGCACACGAGTAACAACCGCAAATAATATGTATGTAGCATGTTATCGTAAACCGCGGTCTAACGATTGTTCGTTCCATTTCAGAGGAGGTGTTCGGCTCGAACAAGGCTTTATGGTTCTCTCCAAGCGGCAGTAAACTGGCCTTCGGTTACTTCGACGACTCCCATACACCGATCATAACGATACCGTTTTACGGCTACCCAGGAAGCCTGACGTTCCAGTACACGTCCGCGATCTCGATCCATTATCCCAAGGTAAGCGTTCGCATGGAAAACTGCATGCAGATAAGAACCGGCTCGACTTCGTTTTCGGGGTACATTGAATTTATGATTTTCTTTATAGCGTACGATATTTGTCGAGTAGAGTCAAAAAATAGTAGTTTCATGGTGTTGCACAGTGTGGAATTTGAACGAGGATTCGAGGCAAAAATCAAAATTCGCTGGTCACGTTCGCACATACGTAGGCAACGTTTGCACGTTCAACAGTGCTGCGTTTGAAAGAGGATTTGGCACAGAGATTAAGAGATGCATATAATGCGCGGTTTTCCTAACATTTAATGTCGGAGAATTCGTCGTGACAGCCTATTTGTGTCCTATCTTTGTTAGTATTTTCTCTGCTTCTTGGCTCGGTTGAAATATCTTGAATATTTATTTCTTTGCGTAACCATACACTGTGGCGTTTGAGTAAACAGTGCGGATTCCGGGAACCAGCTTCCTAACTTTTCTTAAGTGACACACAGAGATTATTTATCCTCTCTGCCGTTTCGTGGCGACATTTAGCAAGGAACAGAGTTTTCACGTAACTTCTAACATTTTCTTGGAATAAATACGACGAGAAATCGATTTTTCAACCGAGTCGCGATTGCGAATGGATTTGACTAAAAAATAAAGAGTATCCAGTTTGTAGTAGAAATCACTGCATAGCAATGCGATATAATATCCTGTTGACGCAGAAGAATCAAAATTACAGGATGGTTTGAACCTACACCTTACGTCTACAGAATCTTTTATTTATCTACTTATTTCGTATAACAAGAAAGGAATTTCTATCAGAGTTTCCGAGAGTTTCCCTTTAAACAGTCAATTACATTATGATGATAATAAAAATCCAAGGAAGAAGTGAAAAAAATGTGCATACTCATAGAGGTCGTAAAATGTATGAATTTGATACGTCTGGCGTAGCGAAGAAATTAAAAGTACACTTTGTCATGATATTATTTCTGTAATTATAATTCGAGCATGTTTATCCATAAACAACATATTCTTTGAATATGATGTTATTCAACATTACGGACACTAATATTAATAACAATAATATTGAACGTAATCCGAGCTTAACGCAAAGTTACGTCATCAAAGAGTCAGAAATTTTGTGTGACCCGAAAGAAAATTTAACCAAAGGAAGAATCTTGTTGCGGCCTGTCTCGCATTCTGTTTGATGTTTCACGCTATCGCGGATACGAAAACTACGCTAGCTGGGTTGACGCTTGAAGACGCGTAGCTTTTGTACTTTCTAGAGACTACATCGAATTTTAGAAAATAATTTGACGCGTGCACAAAGCGAAAAGCGAGCGTGCAACGAATATGCGTACGTGTCTTCGGTCAGCTTTCGCTCCTTTTCCGGTTATTTCAAGCAGAAAGCTTTATAGAAGTTAAGAGAGGATGAAATGTGGAAGGAATTCAAGGTACTGACGTTTTAAATAGAATCGCGATAAAGTTGAAATTTGGTGAATGGATTAGAAATGGTTGGATTAGAATTTTCCACACTGTGTGAATTTAAACGTAACGTTGAAGCAAAATTTAACTGTTTTATTATAGACCAAACTCCATGAAATAAAATTTTTGTTCTGTGCTTCAGATCATCTTTTTGTCACAGCGTAAACGTTATTTCTTTCTGAAAGAAATATGGAATATGAAATTGCTAGAAATTTGAACGTTATTTCTTTTGGAAATCTAGGCACGGATATAAAGTATTCAGCTTGTTATTCCAGATATATTATGGTCATTATTTTACAGTTTCTGACAGTATCGTTAATATTCAGTCGGTTTAAACAGCGTCTACTAGCTTTTTTCAGAAAAATGCTGGAAGTAATATATGAATTGAATTAATTTCTTTTCAATTTAGACTCCAAATTAAAAAGAACGGTTTATCATATTTGGAAACGTCGCATCAAGCGATCCAGACATATGTGTGCTAAAGAAAAAAAAGAAATAAAGGAGCAGCTACTCACGAAACGCGCTGAATTTTATATTTCAGCTTTTATGAACACCAACAGCAGTCGAAGGATTAAAAATCATTAAAGATATCTGTTCGCTCTAGAGTATTTCTATTTGTCCTGATATTCTCTTTCTTGGAAATTTTTTTCACGTTCAGACCTACCTGAATCTAGCTCGTACTACAAATCGAACAATTTTCGATGATGTTGCCCTTGGCTTTTTTTTACCAAAACTCCGCGCACATATTAAAAGACCAACTGACACAGAAGCATCTCTGGGTACTGGCGTTTCTCGAAACAGCAACAAAAAAGGAGATTGATATCGTCCGTGCGAGTTACGCATACCCACCGCGAGATTACATCGGAAAAACTTTGAATCCGCTGGATATTTCGTCCACGTGCATGTTCCTCCGTGGGTTAAAATAAGGGTCCAAGCAACCGAAACAAAACACCAGGGAATTAATATCATCCGCTCGTGTTGCCAGTTTCCCCGGCTATTTTACCGGTTGAAGGAAAACAAAGAGAGAAAAAGGGAGAGAGAGAGAGAGAAAGAGAGCGAGGAAGGTCGCTCTAATTTTTGTCTTTTCTGCGAAACTCCGCGAGCTAACTGAAAGCTGCGTGTCTATTTAATGCTTCGAGTTGAAACGTTCTTTTTTTCTCTCCCTTTCTCTGGTCGCTGGTTTTTTCGTTTCGTTAACAAACTACCAGAGGACCACCGGTTTCTCGTGGACGCGTCGTTTAAATGACAACCAGGTCCAGTAAGTTAGGTACAACTCGTTCATAAGTATTAGAACACCTGCTGACTTTGTACAGGCATTGTAGTCGATTCACATTGTTAGGGAAATTAATTAGTAATAAATTAGAGGAGGACAATTAGCTCGGCTAGAATTTCGTGCAACGTGACGATACTTTAAGTTAACTTTGTTACAGACAGGCTGCCCGAACGAGACGAAAGAGACCATCTAAATAACCTTGCTTCTCGTGAAATGAAAAGCTTTTATGATACAGTTTGAATGGCCTGAAAAAAGGAATACCATGAAGCGCAAATTTTCTCGCAGAATCATTCTTTTTTCATTTTTTCAAGCTTGTTAGTATTTGCTATCCGACGAGTGTGCGTTCTATTGTATCTGATATTGTATCGTGATCTTATATATAAATGGCGACATATTTATTACGATATTGAACCTCCAAACGAGGTTCGACAATTTTCTATCGATTCGTCAAATTTACAGTGTCCTCCATCGAACGTCCCATTTTGAATGTCCCAATTACAAAAAGGGACGAGTCTCGAACAAAAATTACGCAGCAATAAAATTACATACAGCCCACCGTTAACTCCAGTGGCTTTTCATTGCAACTTCTAACGAGTCCGGTTTTCTAGGCAACTTCAACTTACGCAATTTAATTCGCGCAATCGTAGCGTGGTTAACAACACTGTTCTGTTTCATCGTTAAAGCTCACCGACCTGTGTAACCATATTGCATACAACGCCTTCGAGGTGTTACTCTTTCCCTAGGGATTTTCCATCAGGCTGATTCATTTGTCTTTTCGGTTTATAAAAAGCTTCTTTAACTTTCTTTGGTCTTCCGCGAGATAGTTAAAGATTGTTATTAAGTTACACAGAGAAAGAGAGAGAGAAAGAGAGAGGTGGTTGGTTTGAAAATTGCTTCGTTGCCGAGGGTAACCACGTGTTGGCAGCCACTTAATCTCCGTGACGGATGAGTATGAAATATGTACGTGGCCAAGCATACTTGCGAAATGTGGCCGTCAGTCGCCACCGTTTACTATGTATCAATTACCGCTGGAAACTCCATAAGCCAAGTACTCCCTGGAAAAACTTGGCGAATGGTTTTCATTTTCGAGTAAAAAGTGTCTACGAAAAAGTATCGACACACAGTCTTCTAAGGAATTCATTTTCCAACGAAATTTTTTTATCGGCTTCTATACAGCTCGTACTCGTAGCATGAAATTTTTCTAGTCGTATAAGAGTACTATGACTGTTGATAAGAAATTTAACACACTTGAACTCGATTAATTAATAAGTAAGTAGATGTTACAGTAATGTACGTACTTTAACGTAAGCAACGCAATGTTGTATAACGTCGATTTGTTGAATTTCGAGAGATTTCCTCTACTTTGCTTCAAACTGAACATACTTCCTTGAGTTCCTTGGGGATTCTGACTCTGTTACGTGATTCGTTTAATTTTGTGTAATTTAGTATCGCTTGGTGTACTGTGAGCGGTAGGTCGCAGGGTTCGCAACACGGAGCAGCTTCTCGTTGTAATAGAAATTTGTGCGTTAGTCTTCTGTGTCCAATTAGCAGTCTGAGTAGCTTCACTTGATCTCTTCTATTGTACTCTACTTTTATCAGTAAGCGTAACTGCTTGAAATTTTCTGGAATTTTGCATCGTTGCCTTCGATTTTTTTTTTTTTTTTTTTTTTTTTTTTTTTTTTTTTTTTTTTTTTTTTTTTTTTTTTTTTTTTTTTTTTTTTTTTTTTTTTTTTTTTTTTTTTTTTTTTTTTTTTTTTTTTTTTTTTTTTTTTTTTTTTTTTTTTTTTTTTTTTTTTTTTTTTTTTTTTTTTTTTTTTTTTTTTTTTTTTTTTTTTTTTTTTTTTTTTTTTTTTTTTTTTTTTTTTTTTTTTTTTTTTTTTTTTTTTTTTTTTTTTTTTTTTTTTTTTTTTTTTTTTTTTTTTTTTTTTTTTTTTTTTTTTTTTTTTTTTTTTTTTTTTTTTTTTTTTTTTTTTTTTTTTTTTTTTTTTTTTTTTTTTTTTTTTTTTTTTTTTTTTTTTTTTTTTTTTTTTTTTTTTTTTTTTTTTTTTTTTTTTTTTTTTTTTTTTTTTTTTTTTTTTTTTTTTTTTTTTTTTTTTTTTTTTTTTTTTTTTTTTTTTTTTTTTTTTTTTTTTTTTTTTTTTTTTTTTTTTTTTTTTTTTTTTTTTTTTTTTTTTTTTTTTTTTTTTTTTTTTTTTTTTTTTTTTTTTGATCCTTCTTCAACTTTATGTAGAATTTTTAATTCTTCGGGAAATATATATATTCATTA